CTCAATAAAAGCATCGTTTTCTAGTTTTCTGTTAAATGATTCGAAGAAAACTAAGATATAAAAGTTTTCTTGCTCTTGAATGTTGGAATTACTTTAAAAACCCTTGGGTAAATGAATTACATATGAATTAAGCATGATCATCATGATTAAATTGTCGTCTTCCCTGTTTTTGTTCCCAACAGCCTTCGGCTTTGTATAAACGTTGAAACGCATTAAAATACATTAAACACATCGAACGTTTAGCTTTAAATCATTTTATAAACTTTTGTCAGTATACACTGTGTCCAAACAGTTTTAAATCGCATTTATATTTGTTTAGCAGTAAAATAAATGAAATATTACAGTGATAAAGACACATAGGTACCTGCAAATGACAGGTTGTATGAAGTGAAGAATAAAAGAAACAAAATCAAAAAGTGTGACAGCCTTGTGTCTCACGGCGCGTAGTTTTTCACAATGCGCGGCGGCATTCGGCGTAATGAAATTAGCTGCGATGTAATGTGCGCGTAAACAACGCCGTACGCATTGCATAGAATATTATTACGTCGTGTCATATAATTTAATGACACTTATGTTTATTGTAAGCGAGCAGCACAGGCGAAACACAATCAGATGTTTACGAAATTAAAATTATTCCAAGTTTAAAATAATTTTTGGTTAAATTTAGAAATTCTACAGACCTGAAAGAATGTTCCGTAAAATTCTTTAAAACTTTTTTAAGCTTCTTTAACTTTCTTTTCATGCATTTTTCCATCCCTAAATATGTGTTTAAATGGAATAAATATACCTACGTCTAATGTCTTTAAAATAGGTATCTAGAAAAGACCTAAAAATACAGATTAAATCGACCGTGTTACTTCCGTGTTTTCTAAGATTAACACATTTTTCAATAAACGATAACACAAAGAAAGGCAAAAACTGTAGAAAAAAAACTCACTTGATGATACACATGTTTGTTTGAGAAACTAGTGAAGACAATATTTTTTGCCCGTTTTTCAACAGCAGAAAACTACGAAAACTAACAAATCTATTTTTACACCTCGATAATTTACACTGTAAATCAAAATGTAGTTTAAGCAACACGCTGCCTTAAAACATTTAAAACATTTTAAACGCTCAACAATTATAATTCTGATCCTTTAATCTACTTTTAATACACCTGTAATATAATTAATATTAACTCTAGACGATGTTGTGCTGCATTCCTTTCGTATAAAATAAGTAAAAGCTTGCAAGGAATTTCCAGACAGAGCGTCGTAGCGCTGCAGCTAAACTCCGACTCGACCTCACAGTGAAGAAGTCGACAACTCTAGAATTCGAGAATATAGCGCTCCTATGCCGGAGGAGCAGCATGGGCATCATCAAAGCCGGAGAGCGCCGAGGAAGGATCGGCGGCGATACGACGCGCCGCGGCGAGCATTCCAAGCACGGCCAGAGCGAGGCTGACGTCCGGCTGACCGGGAATAATGTAAAACGAGGCCAGCCAGCCAGCCAACGCAGAGATGAGCAACAGGTTACGAGGCAACAACAACAACACCGACGACACACGGCCAACAACCGGCCAACCTGTGCATACCTGAGAAAATGGTGAAGAACCAGAAAACTCGCGAGGGACAAGTAAACAACTATTTAAATATTAAACGCATTAATTACAAAAAGAAACAAAAGTACTTTTAGATTTAATTTGATAAATTAAGCTGCAAAATTCGCCAGAAAGTGAAAGTTTGCAATAGTAAACATTTAAAATGGTCCTTCATTCAAGAATATAAATTATTTCGCCCTTATTTCAATACAAACCGCATTAAAATTACGTTTTACGAGTTTTGTCTCCTCACATTTCGCATCGCGCGTCTCGCGTTAATTTTTAATGCGACTTCAATGTCTTCGAGTACGTCTTGCTCTTATGTCGGGTCGTAAAAAGCGATCGCATAAAACCGCGAAATTTGATTCGGATGTCAAGAGCAGACAATAAAAGACAGGCAAACCCAGACGACGACCACTCGTGATTTCAATGAGCCAATAAAAGACAACATGCAAAGAAGGCTAAAAACGACCGAAAAAAGAAACAGACAAGTCACAAGTCAAGTCAAGGAAAATCAAAACAGCAAATAAAATCAAATAAAAATCACATGCTGCAATCAGTTTCCAACCTATAACTTACTTTGTATGCATCTATGTGTCCTTAATTCTGTAAAAACACAGCAACTTTCCAAGAAAACAAAATTTCCTTGACATTTTCTCCTACAACTTCTTGGAACAATCACACGTTGCCTGAATTCCGACTAAATTTCCTACAATTCTTGGATATTGTACTTTTGTACATACATCCTTATTGTGTAGTTAGCTTGCGTGTGTTTTATTATCGTGCGTTCGTAACATGCATGATACATGTGATTCGCGCGCGCCGTCGGTTCACACAGATTAACAGTTAAAGAGTTGTGCCAGGCCCGACTCAGACTCGCACTAATCATTACACTACCGCGACTAAAACGTAATCTTAAAGCCAAAACTGCAAACGGAGAAACAGAAGTAAACTGCTGAGCTTGCGTCTACATATAAAATTGATAATTCGTGTCAATCCGCCACGAATCTCACTCACGAAATTAATGATGAATTTAAGGAACACAACTCAAGTGTAGGTCTATTGTTTGCGCAAAACAATTAAATTTTAATCTGACTAATGGCATAATTACCTCTCCTTCGCGCACGCCCCGGCTCGGTTTTAGTTTCGGTTTGGTAAATGTACGTTGTAAATTTTTATTGGCGTTTTAATTAACGGATTTATTTGTTTATTGTTTGCAACGCGCTGTATGTGGTTATTGTGCCGTAAAGATTATTGCATGCGGAATTATCGCGTTTCGCAAGAAACAATACTCACACACCACATTAAATGCAATATTAGCTTAGACGTTAGAGCATATTTTAATACACTGCGATTAAAAGATGAAATTACAAGTTTATTCAACCTGAGTATTTTATTAGATACGATATGATTGCAAAATCTCCCCGCAATTATTTAAATTCGTTTGCAATTCATTGCATGACTAGCCATTGCGCGATTTTCACATCTGATCGATTTCGCCGATCATGCATGCCGAAAAGGCCGCGAGAAAATTTGCATGCCATGAAATTACCGAGCACACGCGAAAAAACGCTACACTGCAACAGCAACAACCGAAACCTTTCACATCAAATTTCACTCGATCGTTGCATATATACAATATGTTCTAGCCGGCGAAAAATTGTTTAGGAAAAAATATCAGCCAGCGATGCGACGCGACGCGCTTGATTAGCCGCGTGCGGTTCCATCGCGAGCGCAAATAAAATAATAATAACGACATAATGAAGCGCGCAGATCGAGCGAACGAGCGCCGAGAGGAACGCGGAATGCGAACGTTCGTTCGGAACGTAATTGCACTTTCTACCATAATCATCGGAACGTGTTTAATCGAAAACTCTCTAATACCGTTTCGGCCGACCACGGCAAAGTGCGCAAAAATGCACTTCCTTCGCCAAGCACGCTCCGATCGTCGATAATGAGATGCGACATCATGATGTCTCCATCACTAAACAATCAAACGTTTGAACAACAAAAAAACACCATAACTATTCAATTAGGAAATATTTTTTTTAAGTTTTTAAAAATAAAAACATTTAATTGATATTTATCTGGTCTAATAAAGTAATAAGTTGTATTGTCACGATTCCAGGCTGTTAGTTAGGATCCATAAACTAATCAATTACGAACAATTAAAATCTAGTCTGAGCTCGTTCGTATTTATCAATTCTCTCATCTCTTTCAATCTCTAGTCGAGCCGGAGCCGACCGTAGACTATAATTTGTTATTTGTCATTGGCTGCCACTAGCATAATAGAAACTAGAGAAAACAGCTACGAATGATACAAATTGAAATCGAAAACAATAGCGGCTATTGATAGAACGCGTCGCTAAAATCAATGCGCACACAACTCAGCAATATACAATGTAAGTGCTTAGACGTCGCTGACCACCACACACCAATTCGAGCGTGAATTGTGATTGTTCGCGAGGCGCAAATTTCATCAGCGAATTCCGCGAATTGAAAACGCATGTGATTCATTAAGTGCAACAACGAGACGCGCAGACAACTTGTCATTGCATTTATCAACTTCTAAGTGTGACCATAGATTGGACCACCCTGCAACCGGACCACCAACATTCACACTTTGTATTAATATTGACCCAAATTTACATGTAAATAAATCATAATCAATACAACCTAATATAATTTTTTTTCGGTTGAAATGTCGATACTGTTAATCTGTAAATGTCAAAAATTATGAACTAACTCGACTGTTTACTAGTGGCTGCCGGTTCGCTGGTTGAAAGAGTACATATTTACATTGTTGGCGCTCGTCGCCTCGTTGGTTTAATTGATGAACTAGTTGCGGCACTCGTTCGATCGTTGGCATCGGCGAAGCAACATCGCCGATGCGCTTTTCGACGCACTGCAACTCGAATCCGGGTTAATGCATGTGCTTTTGTGTCGCCACGCATTCACCAAACGCACGCACAACACAACTCATTCGATAAATCAATTTCGAATTGAATCTATCCGCGCGGAAAATTCAAATTACAGCGAAATTATCCAAACACGCTCGGGGCGAATAATTATAATTAGTGTTAACCATAATAAATAAATAATTATTATTATTATTGGTTGAGTGTTATTTATTCCAGCTTAAATTCCAAGTTGAACGATCTGACTCTGGGATTTAATCTCATTTATGGTCTGTCCCACAGCCTCCTCCGTCCTCCCCCGAGCCGGTGCTGCGCATCGAGCTTAACAGTGAGCAACGCAATGCAACGCCCAAGTCAAGTCGAATCAACTTTAAGTGAACTCAAATTCCCAATAAAAAAAATATAACTAACATATATCTTGGTTGTATTTGGAAAGTTATAGTTCTATTCATAAAATAATTCTGTATTGCAAAATACCTGTTTATTATAATAAAACTTACGTTGATAATAAATCCCTTATTGCACCAAAAAGTGCTTCTTCGTTTATTATAAAACTCACTCTGGTCACACTTGTTTTATGTTTCGTACGATTGATAACTTGGTTTGTTTGTTATAACTTCTTGAATTCTTGAATAATCTCGCTTCGTGTCCTCGCTTATCTCGGCGTACGATTGTTGCCAACCTGTGAGCGTACAGAATTCAACTCTCGCGTACACCGAATACACCACGACTGTGCGACTGAACGAACGAGCTGGTGTTATTCAGTCGAACCGAACTGAAAGTCGAACTTCGACGGAGCGCCGGCGACGAAAGAATGCGCAAGAGGGCGACGAGCGCACACGTCCGGTACGCGTGTGAGTGTTAGTGTATGTGTGCGCGCGTGAAACGAAACAAGCGTCGGCAACTCGGTCAGCACTGACGAACGCTGCGCGGCGAACTGGGTGCAGCGACACGGCTCGAACACGGCTTCGCCCCAACTCGGTTCGACTCGATGAACGGTGCTGCTCGTAAACGCCCGAAGAGCGGCGAGCATGCCGCGGCTCTGGCACATATTTGATGCGCAAAGAAGCGCGCTGTTGTGCATGCGCAACGCACATAAGAATTAGAAAAAAGCAACCCTTCAACGTAACTCACTCACATAAAATTATATTGATATAAAAAAAACATTTAAAGCACTTGTGATTAAATTAATTACCATCTATTTATAGCTCATCATTGATGTCGATAAATAAGCTATTTTCTATTTCCGAGGAATGTTCGACGTTAAATCATCGCCTGTCTATTAATACACACCAAGAGTGTATGTGGTTTGGCTAGGATCGAACGTCACTAGTAAATCAAAACTTTACGTATGACTCCGCAACGCTCTGATGTAATATCGAATGTAAAATAAATGCAAAATCCCATCGCGTGGAATTTACACGTACGCAATGCGAATTTAATATAAATAAACGTGCGCTCAACTTGGGAGATGCATCAGTATAATATTAATGATGCTTAATGCATTAATTCATTGATTAAAAGCTAAGTTACGAGCGAATTAGTCGACCGGTCCGCCGGTTGGATGCCGCGGAATGCGAGCGATAAGAAATTCGCTAATTATTTAGTAATTAGCGCAGTATGCAGGAATGTTTCATAATGCGACGCGCAACCAACAGAAAAAGCGGTCTTTTGATAGTGGATTTTATTTAAATATCGTATGATTTATATCTATAGTAAAAAAATAAGTCGCAAAATATGTTGGTAAGCGCATAACTCAACAACGCTTAGACCAATTTGGCCAATTCTTTTTTTAAATGTTTTTTAAAGCCCAAGTATGGTTTTTACGGCGAGAAAAATTCGAATAATTGCCGGGAAAACCCTAAAGACAGCCCTTTTCTATAGGATAAAAGTTGGCATTGAGATTCAATCATATTTATAGTTAAATAGTTGAATTCGAGATGGATTAGCAATTCTTGACATAATTAATTTCTTTAAAATAAAATTGTGAATCTCTTTGATAGAATTGACACATACTATGTCTAGAACGAGAAAGTAAAAACAAATTACATTTTTATTAAACACTACCTGGACGAAGTCGCGGCAAAAGCTAGTTTTAGATAAAATCACGTTTTTACTAAAATATCAACATTTTCTTATGTAGTAAATGTTTGTAAAATATTGAATGAATCCGCAAGGAAGATATATTTGAGTAATGTGACTTCTGAAATGTTGGCACTAATTTCTAATTTCTGAGTGACGCCCCCAGCGGTAAACATAGCAACAGTGTAGCATTTCATTGCGCATACATCATCGGCGCCTGGCCGAAGAGCAAACGACCGAAGTGGGCGTGAATCCAAACTGATATTTGAAGAAATGCCTCAACCACAAAATGTGTCTCTGTCTACGAAATGAGTGCTAGTACGTCGAACTTACATTTACGCACGACGCACGAAAAATATACATCATAAGGCTATGCAAAATGGTATTTGCAAATTTTGTGTTTAGAACTTTACGAACGTAACGCGCAAAACTGAGTTAAAGTTCCGCAAAATATCCAAGTTTTCACGTGTTGACCCACTTTGAATTTCATTTCACAAACCAAATCTTGTTTCATGTTTCAACTCGTGCGTTTACAGGAAGTCGCAAAACCCGTCGAGTTTACGAGTGTCATGAAATACAATTTTCCCAATAACCCGAAATTTCCACCAATTCGACCAATTTGTTAACGAAAACAATGTTGGCGGTTTATGATGAATTGCATCAGGAAGCAGATTCGTAAATAATTAATGCTGTCATAATACACCACGCAGCAAACAAACAAGAATGTTTTTTTAACACTATTTCCCGGAACTATGTAAACACGACGACCGGCGTCATGTAAAGCCCCTACGGTATAAAAATTAACGCGCAAAAAGTGAAATTTAACGCGTTTTAATTAAGCCATCATCATTCTCGCGCTCTGCGCATTTATTGTTCACCTGTTTACATTTTTATATTTAATATTCATGTCAGCAGAGTTAAATACGAGAGTCGACAATACAGAAATTTTCAAATTCCGAACGACACATTGATATATTCGCTAGAAATATAGCATAACAACGCATAAAAGTGCATACATGTATAATGTACGCGAATGTGCGTGCTACTTGCTTCGAAGTGAACAATTTATTACGGAACTTTATGCGGGCGTGAGGATTATAGCCGGGTTCAATGCCTGCCGAGGGAATCTACGTATTTTTATTTAAATAAATAGCGGTTGAATAAATTTCTTTTAAATTGAAAATCGTCTGCCATCTAGATTTGTCATTGTGTCTGCAATTGTGCAACCCGAAGATATCAAATGAGAAAATGGCGAGATGTCGAGATAAATCGTCCTCATCTAGATCGCAGACGTGTGATATCTGCTCCTTCATCGTGTCATCACTACTATCATCGATGGCGCGTACATTTTCTCATATTCTCACATTCTCGTTGCCTCGCCACAATGCAAAACGCGTCGATCTCAGCGACCTACATTCGCATCCTTCATGATAAATACTCGCAGGCGTCTATTGAGTCTATGAATTCTATAAAACCTATGAAATCATGTTTAACATGTCTATGCATCGCGAAGATGAAGACTAGACGCGACTAGACTCGAGTTCGACTTTAAAGTGACGCTTGCAAATGCGATTACTCCATATTACGACACGCCATCAGCCGCTGGCGATGGTTGGACATACGCTGGGAATCTAATTAAACTTCAGGATGGCGCCCGACGATGGAGGCAGCACACGCCACCGGAGTGTGAATAAAGCGGGCGGACGGGGAGCAGCATCACGAGCGCGCTTCTCGTGGCGTCTCGCGAGTGTGATGAATCGATTTGTGATTAAGTGCCGAAACTTTTGCTCTCGTGCAGAATTTAAATTGATTTAGAGCTCACTTTCACATTCAGCCTTTAAACGTTATGTCAATTCGATTATATTTTCATAAACTCACAATGTGACAGACGTATAAACAGGATTTTAAAGTCCAATTTCAAAAGTTTGCATTTGTAAGTTATAATGAGAAGCAGACTTTTTTTGTACTTTTTTTTGATTAGATCTATATGCGGCGCGCATTATTTCACCGCACCGTCGTTGTCGCCTCGTCGTGCAAATCTGTTTAATATTCATTATACATGAGGTTGGTTTGTCGGTTGGCCCGCTTTTCATTGGTTTAGCATGGTTTAGCCCGTGCTGGTCCTGTCTGAGCTTCATACCAGCATCAGCCTAGCCAGTGATTGGGTCCGTCGAGAGACCTCGTTAATATTTAAAAGCGACAAGTTTTTTACGTCTTCACATTTTCGTCGAAAAGTGAAAAAAAAAACATTTTTTCTCCGGAATAGAAATAGCACAAATATAACAAGCAATTATTGAAACAAAAATAACTATGTATTCCCTTCACTTGTCACGGGTAAAATATTCATAGGTTTAATTTAATGTCGCTTCAGTCATCAAAATTTGCATTATTTTCAATTACCAGCAAATCACTATGTTGTAATCTTTCTAAGCAAATATCATAAAAATCAGATCCTGCAAATCATTAAATCGAACAAATGCCACACAAGCATAAAATTTTAACGCCTTCTTTTACCCGATTGCATTTTTAATGATTATTTAACATCACTGTCGTCGGCACAGTAATTAAATTAATTTTAAACTTGCTTTCAAAAAGAGCATTAAATATTAAAACAAGAATAACCTACTTTTTAAATTTTTAAAACCTGCAAATACCAAGTGTTGCAGAAAGAAAATTGAACCACGGACGAATAAATATATAAAGTTGAACATTGCAAAATCTCGTGTTCGCAAAAGAAAAGCGTCTTGTCGTGGGAGTCGTGGGAGATTGAGAGAATGTCGGCAAGGTCGTTTCGTCGCTGTTGCCACTCGCGCCGAGCTGTTGCTTCGTGAAAAACGCTACCTTATAACGAACAACACAGCGGCGAGTAATGTTCCAACTTCAACTCACAGCACCTCCGACAACAAATCCAACAAGTATGCCATATACAACAACAGCGTGAATGTATGCTAATAGACATTCTACGCGACTATATACCATTTATGAGAAGTATATGCCAAGAATCCAAGAATAATGGATTTTGCATGCGCGGGCGAAGTTTGCGCGCACCAGCGAGTGCAAAAACGAGTCTGGATTTGCGAAATAAGTGGAATAACAGATGATCTATTGTCCTGCTTTGACGAGGCTGGAAGCAGACGCGTCCAGAAACCTTCATAATTCATTTCGAGATTTAAAAAACAGACAAAAATGAGAAATTACTCGAAATGTCTGTTTCAAGATTTAAAAAATGCGTACTGTTTACCTTAGATATTAGATGCGCAGTAGGAATAATTGCAGTTAAGACTCACCTGCAACAAAACAACAAAAATATTAATTTATTGTATCCTTCACAATGCAGTATATCAACGCCATTTATGAGCAATTCAGCAATTTAAGTATATTCAACTATAAATCACTACTACCATATGCATCCAATTATTATGAGCATCCACATTAAATTTTATTACAGATGAGTTAATTGGTTAATTGTTCGTAACGTTTGCGCTCTTTGAAAGGTTCGAACACTTTCAACGTTGTGCTCGCGCGAGGCAGGCGACTGTTACTTTGGAATTGTTTACAAAAGTGCAAAAGCGCGTGATGCAACAAGCGCGCCGCTGCAGCGAAATACCAGTCATGAAATGTGTATTGGTATTAACTCGCAATTATTATGAGCATTTTATTGATGCGCATATCGGTCAGCCGTCAAGCCATCATCCTCGTTCGAAGTGGAAGCCGAAGAAGATGAGGCAAGTGAGGCTGAACGTGTTCGCGTTTTAACTCTGAAGTGTGGTTTACGCAAGCGCTCGCGAATAAATAATCCAAGACAGCGGCTGGTATAAATTAACGAACGCTAATTAATACGCA